CCTAAGAAACATGACAGTAGTTCACAACAACTCATAGAGCAGTAATAAGTACAAGAATTCACATTCTATTAGTTCACTTCCTTGCCATTTTCATTTATGGGTAAAGTATGCATTTCAACATCCTTTCCTTCAACCTTACCATCTTCGGCCTCTTTCGCACCCTCTGACACATCCTGCAGCTGCAAAAGTTCCAAATGGTTCAACATAGGAGCAGATTCTGGTTTCTAAAAACATAGACCATGGAAAACAAGTAGCATAAGCCTATGTTACTCGGACTCGAGAGTGTTGGATACAAGTACATGTTTAACATGGTTATGTTCATTTTCGTCTATTTTTCCTTATACCACGTATCGGAATATGTGATATTGAATTTGAGTACTCAAGGAAAATGAAAAGTCTGAAGCTATCATAGGTGTAAGGAATGTAAGCAAAAGTTTGAAATTAAACTGACCCCCAAATTTCTTAAGCTGGCAGTAACATCTTGTTGCTGATGTAGAGTGTTCCTCAGTTCTTGAAATTCCTTATTTTAAGAATGAAACATTTTAGATAACTTAAATTTCCCTCATTTCAGCACGAAAAACCTTTCTTTTAAGTGAAGAACTTACTGTACGGAGTTGCTCCACTTCAACATTAAGTGTTTTCTTCAGTTCGGTGAGCTCCTGCAAGAATACATGCAAATTAACCTAAGAAATGACAGCACCAAAAGGTATTATTGATTGAGATACCTAACCAAAGCTGCAATGAGACAATTTATTGCTTGATTATAAGTATTCTTAGTCAAAAATCAGTTCTTCCATCAATTTCTTCAAATGACGACACAAATCTTGAGAGCCGCGGCGTCAACTGGTGTGAATCAGACAGGAAAAATAAGAGCTGGATACTAGATAAGAGACCAATATAGGTGTGCTCATTTTCTAAACAGTTTTCTTATATAATTGGATGATCATACATTCGCAACCTCGTGTTTATATCCGAATATGTGTCAAGACGTACTCCAATGCAAATGAAGAATATGCAGAGTTCAACCACATAGGTCCCAACCATTAAGTAGGAAGAGGAAAAAATCATATGAAACAAGACTTCAACGAGCAGCAAAGGGCAAACAAAATATAAGCAAACTCAACATCATTAGTACAATAATATAAAAAGGAAGAAAGTTTTAAACCAGGGTACTTGAGTGTTTGAAGCCAGATTTCCCACTCAATTTGATATTACATTCTCAGGAAACAAACACCCACATACAGATTTTATCATGAGCTTTCACTTGATAGTAAAAGATTTAGCAACTCAAACTGTTAACTACATAACTAGCATAACATGAAACAAACATTACCACAGATTTCATACAATCTCAGCATGAATAAACATACAAGAATGAAAAGAATCCATGAAATTTTGTGAGATAAAAAGCAAAAATACTGAACGTACATCGCGGTAAAATTTAACTTGGGTGTCCAGTTTTGACCTCCAATTTTTCAGATCCTAAAGGGAAAGAAAGATCAAACTCAGAATCGAAATATATATAACCCCAAATAAGGACAATGTAAAACTTGTAAAATAATAATAAAAAATTTATATTTTCCAGAATGACCTGTTTCAATCCTTGAATTCTATTGAGCAGCTCAGTCCTTGATTCTTTCAATTCCTAAAACCCCGGATCAAATTACAAATTAGAAATGAATCAAATCAAGCAAGTACCATTTTTCCACAAAGAAAATTTAGATACAGAAAAAAAAAAAAGAAAATCCAAAACTTACTGCAATTTTTGAACCTACTGGAGTGATATTCTCCTTGTTCTGTAAAATGGGTACATAAAATTCCATTAACATTTCTAATATTGTAAAGAAAAGAAAAAGATCTTCAACTACAACTCGAAAAACCAATAGCAAGAAATAGAGAAAAAAAACAAAACTGGGAAAAGGAAATACAGGAGGTGGAGCGACAGGAAGAGGAGGAGTAGAATCAGAGGATGCCATTCGAATCAATTAGAAACAGAGAGTATTCTATGAATTGATTTGATTTTAAGCTTTGGGTTTTTCTTTATATCCTCTTTCGATGTGTTGAGAAGAAGAAAAGAAGTATATTTCAAGCTTTTAACAGTGACTTGTTGTTTCTCATGTAGATCTGGAAACTGGAAGAAAATAGAAAGGTGATAATGAAAGATTTCTTCCAAAAGAAAATGGGGTTTGATGAACTTGATTTTGAATTTGTGGAATTGGGGAGTGTTTGAGCGGGCAAATTGCAGATCTTTGAACGTTGTTTTACTTTCAAAGACGGATAATTTATGAACATCATGCAAATGTTGCACCTTTACTTTTTTTTTCATTTAAGATTTACATTCTTTTCAAAATTTCCATGTAGTTAAAAGATTTGATTTTTAGCACTTTCCCAATTAAAATTGTAGGACGTAAGGAAAGTATGAGATTCACTTTATGATATTGTGCTTTGTTAGATGAAACTTGATTTTAGGGAAAAATAAGAAACATAATATGATCTCATGATCAAGTTCGGAATGATTGAATTATGACTAAGTCTGTGTATGAAATCATATAGTATAATAACTTTTGAATGGAATAGGAAATAAGGATTCAATTCCTATAAAGTTATGGTATGATAATCAAGTTACACTTCATTTCGTTTTTAATGATTCAATTCCTATAAAGTTATGGTATGATAATCAAGTTACACTTCATTTCGTTTTTAATCAAGTATTTCATGAACAAACGAAACACATTAAGATTAATTGTCTAATCAAGTTTTTTATGAACAAATGAAACACATCAAGATTGATTGTCATTTCATGTTTGAAACATCCAACATGACTAATTATTGTTGATTGTATGAAAACTGAAAAATAAAAAGACATTTCAAAAAATCTCTCAATATGACCCAAATTGATATAACAAGTTAATCATGATTAATATTTATACTCCAACTTGAGGGAGATTGTTACATATTTTTTAACGATTTCTACCTAAGGGAAGGGGAGGGGAATTTCACTCATAATGAGTATTGAACGTACAACATAGGGGAGAGGAGAGATGTCAACTGAAAACTTTTAAGCATCTACTCTAGAAATTATTTTTCAGATTGTTATATATTTATAGGCTAAAATGTAAGATATTGTGTTACCTATCATAGAAGCTTTATATTTGTATGTATAATAATATGATTGATGAACAAAACACAAAATAAACATCATTCTCTCTTTTAATGTCTCGACATTATGTGCATTTTTTGTCATTTAACCTTACCAGCTAATTGCATTTGCTTAAAATGTCATTTTAAACTTATCCAAATCAAGAGAAACATAATATTTTCAAAATTAGCATAATCACCAAAATATCATGGTTGGAAACAATACAAAAACATAGCAATCATTCATCAATCTTGCAAAACCAAGTTCCAAAAGTACCAAACAATTCAAAATGTACCAAATAGACCATGTTACACTTTGAAACAAATCACAAAGTCTTTTTCATGTTACCCTTATACCACATCATTTAGGAAGTAAAGATACTTATTGCAATTTCGGTAAGTAAAGCTAAGATTGGTGCCGATGCCACATCTCTCCTAGCTCCTTAACCTCTAATTACCTAAGCATGAAGAGCTACATGCCAAGCTTACAATGATTTAATTTGCGTTCAAGGGAAAAACATGCAAAGAATAAGCAACAAACAACTCATAAGTGCAATATTCATGCTAAGCCACTTTAACCATCATGCAAGCCTCCATTTACCATATCTATATCCACTTCATTCCACACATGCATGAATCAACACTTATGGTCTATGTTACAAAATATGTTCATTTATCCTATCATATATATTCTACCATATTTATTTCATATTGCTTTTTGTTAAAACCATCATATAAGCATACTTATACAGAAATAATCTTCAAATAGCCCAAGTAAAATTTACGGATTTCAGAGGATACGCATATTTCTTACCTGCCCTTGTATATTCATCTAAGCTCTAGTTTATGTGTGTTCATGTGCCAAGTAACTCCAAATAGTGTAGCTAAGCTAACACCTCCTAACACCATATATGAATTATGCAATATGTAACCTCCTAACACCATATATGAATTATACAATATGTAACATCCTAACACCTACTTTTTAATTTAGTCCATGCTCACAATTAAAACTAATTTTGCAATTTCTTTTCAATTTAATCCCTACTTTAAAGTCTGATTTTTATCCTAACTAATCCGAAAACATTTTCCAAGTATTTCTTACCCTTGTTACCTTTGATTTTTCGTAATGATTATTTTCAAATTTAATAATTGTCTAATCTATGATAATCCTTTCGGTACTTTATCAGAATTTCATACTTTCAACAACTAACCTCGATTCTGGGATGTGACAGTGACACATACTGTCTTCATTGACATGTTGCTAGAACCCAAAGCCAGCTTTGATACTACATATCACAGTCAACAATAACTTACAAAGTAGAGTATTGTCAGCTTCTTCCCATTGCGTGCCATGTCCCAGAACTCTAGCCAAAAAAATTAAAATTTTGGAAACAACCTTCCATGCTTACCCATAAAGCCGTTAGGGAGAGTTAGAAGATCTGGAATCCATGTCCGTAAAGCCTAATGAACTGATTATATGTATATTAAATTTCCAATATTTGCTGCTGTTTGTGGTGCATTTGAATTCGGATCTTGTGTTGAGTATTTTTAAATTCCTTTTCTCTTTCCATTTTTACAAACAAATTTTTACGGTTTCTAGGATTTATTTTTAGTGTTCTTCATCTGTTTGAATAAAGTTCTTTCCTTGAAGTGCGTTAGAATATAGCATTTAGGTGGATTTATTGTACTTCTTAATATTTGAGTGAAATGGAGGGTTTAGTATCCTTGTTTGTGGATAATCTACCTTTGGAGTTGTACTGGAAGGGTATGTGGCAGATACAGGGCCGGCCCAACACATGTGCCACATGGGCGACGGCCCAGGGCAGCATGTTGGGGGAGTTTTCTAGGGCTTAATTTCTATGTTACACGGTCCTGAATATGGGTTGTCGTTGTCTGTTGCAGTGAGTTTCCTTGAAGAAATACCAAAGAACATGGCCGCTTGTCAAAATGTGGTCTCTGATGCAAAATCAGCACAAAAACCGCCTGCACCACCCGGTTTTCTCTCCATTTCACGCAAGAAATTGCTTCAGAACCTTGAAATCAGTGCAGGAGCAAGGGTTAGCGCATGGGTCGATTCCATGAGAGCTTCTTCCCCAACTCATATTAAGTCTACACCTTTCATTGCCGATGATGAAGGTTCCTTGAATGTGAGTTCTTACCTGTTTCAAGCCTTGAACCAAAATGGGTTTTCATTTTTCTCAAAGGCAATAAAGATTCTGACTTTTCTGTGGTTGATGAAATTGTTTAGCTGCACCATCCATCGGTGCTGGATATGTTCGAGCATATAATAGATGCTTCGAAAGGGAAAGAAATAGTAATGTTTTTAGATTACGATGGCACTCTTTCTCCGATTGTTGCAGATCCAGATCGAGCTTTTATGTCCAAGAAGGTTAGTTATTTGTTCACATGACACCACGGCTATTCTTTGCATAAAATTTCTGGGTACATCTCATCTATAAATTTGACATTAATTTCACATGCTTTGTGTACACCATATGAGAAAGACGGTGAGAAAGGTAGCCAAATGTTTCCCTACAGCTATAGTGAGTGGTAGATCCGTAGATGCAGGGACAAGGTACATTTTCAGGCATTAAAATTTGATCCTTTATTTAATGTTCACACAATTGGTAAATCTTTTGTTGTTTTGAAAACTACAAGGTATATAACTTTGTCAAGTTGGCTGAGCTATATTACGCTGGAAGCCATGGAATGGACATTAAAGGCCCTGAGAAACTTTCCAAATCTAACACAGTGAGTAAACTTATGTTTCTCAGGTCAAAATCTAACACAGAAACACATGATGTGTTTGATATAAAATTAGTACCTTGTTCTCGACTAGCACCTTGACTTGCACTTTGATCTTGAGATTCCAACGACTGATCTTGCTTTAAGAACTTGATTGAACAAAGTAGTTATCTGTTTAAATCATAAATCTAACATTAAACACTACAGAACCATATTTACCTTTGATCTAGGTTTTTTCTACCGAAAACTTGTCGGAAACTTATTACATGTGCACAATTTCCCTTCAATTCTTTCCATTTATTACTATGTTGTTAGTTGTGAAATTCTTGATGTTTATATTCTGAATTTTATGCCAAATGAATCCAAATGTGGAATCAAATAGGCCCGAGATTCGCATTTAGCATCTCTTATTCTTAGATTACTCGGTTAAACTTATCTAATAGGGGAAGGATTTATGCTTGGATTCGAACTTTGAATTTATTAGATGCCAGTTTTTGAAGATGGCTGCATGAACCATTTGAGTTTCAAGTTCACTTAGGAATGCTTATTCTTTCTCTATAGTGTGTGAATTTGGTGGTTGGCATGAACTAATCCTATGATAAACCCATACTCGAAGTGTAGTAACGAATCGGCCCGGGATTTGTATTTAGCATCTGGAATCTATTTTGCTATTCTTCGACTACCTCTTTAAACTTTTCTGGTAGAGAAGGACTTATGTTAAGATTCGAATTTTGAATTTGCCAACTACCACATTTAAAAAGTATCTACATGAGCAGATTGAGCTAAGTTTTGAGTTCAGGAATGCATCGTTCTTTCTCTTCTAAACCTTTGATGTGATGTAAATTTGGTTACAACTTGTAGGTGGTTGGCATGAAGAGACCATATCCCTTTTCTCTAGACAATGTTCTAGGTCCCCCTATCGTAAAATAATAGAGGTTTTTGCTTCAAAAAATGTACGAAGACATCGTTTTAGGTGATATTTGTAGCCTTGTAGGTTTTGGTTTGTATTAGTATTGATATTGTTTGACTATAATTTCTATTACATTTTTGTTTTAAAAAAATTATTTATGTTTTGTCTATTATATGGTACAAGTATAGGGGCATAAAATTGTTATCTCGCCCAGGGCATTAAAACTCATTGGACCGGCCCTGGGCAGATATTTGGTAGACAAGGGTAGGTTCGAAAGGTTTACATCGCAAACAAGAGGAGTAGAGGGAGTACAAGATTTGCTTTCGTTCGAACGATAAATAGAAATGAGGCAGTGAGAATGATTGAGAGATTGACTGGATTTAAGGTTTATGGTAGTAGAATTTCGGTGATGCTCGCTAAAACAAACAATGGACCTTCGGTTAGGAAAGTTCAGACGTGGAAACCGGAGTGGAGGCCGAAGAGAGTAGAAAAAGCAATACACGATGTAGGCACGAGGAATCTAGTTTTCAGGAAACAGAGAAAAGAAAGAGCATTATAGGATATGTCGAAGATTCATATTTGTGGAAGGCAAGGAGATGTTTGATTGGTGAAATGGCAACAGTCTGTAGTGTAAGGAGTACTGAAAGAAGATTGCATGAAGGGGGGCCGGGAAATCAAAGTACAAAGACTTGGAGGAAAATTGTTTTTACTTACTATTGACAATGAGGATTTATTCATATTGTTGAAGGATCTCCGATGGTGCTATCTAAAAGAATTTTTTAGTGAGGTCAAACTATGGTTAGAAGAGGTGAAAGTAGTAGAACGGACGACTTGGTTGGAGCTGTCAGGTGTGCCTCTTCACTGCTGGAATGGTACAACGTTGAAACGAATGGCTGAAATGTGGGGAAAACTTGAAGCCTTCGGAGAGAATATTAATCATATGATGAACTGCGAAAAGGTCGCCCTGTTGGTGACGACTAAGCTGAGCTCTCGGGTTGAGGAGGAAGTCGAAATTGTTGTAGGAAAATCGAAGTATGTAGTTAGGGTGTTAGAATTAGCTCTCAACGACAACTCGATGAATGTTTGTTCTGATTTGAATCAGAGGAATCCAGGTGTTATGGGGAAGTTGAATTAGTAGGAAATAGGCTCGAGATTCAATTTGCCGAAGCAGTTCTCAAGCAAAACCTAAACAATAATTTCAAGGGTGAAATCTTGGGGAATGAGCTTGATATTAGTAAATGTAAGCGGGCCATTTCGGGGTGAATGTGTTGAAAATGGGTTAGTTGATGTTATGGTTACAGCTGATCCATTATTAGAAAACCCATGCTCCTTAAGAGCTATTAAGTTTATGGGTTTCCATGTGCAAGAACTTAATCACTTTGTTAGTCAGGAGGAGGTTCTGGGCCGGAAAGAAATTAAAGTCCAAAATGAGCCAAGCTTAGACAAAGAAGAAAACGTCCAGGAATTTAGAGAATGAGGCTTGGCTGTTTCAGAGGAGAATGGGGTGTTTAAAATACCTGATTCATATCAACTAATTGAGGGGGTTATACTCTAGAACTGCAAGCAATAACCAAACCTAGGAGAGGAAGCAATAATGAAGTGGTTAGAGATTTAACAAAGATTGAGGTGGCTCAATGTCAAGCAATATCTAATTATTTTGGTTAGACAATACGTGTTTTGATGAAATTTCTGTCATGGATCGTATTGGGCTGGGGGAAATGCATTTAAGCTGGATTTGATTATTGAGTTGAAGTTTTTTGGGGGAAATGCAAGGGAGTGGATGCTAGTGAGATGACGCTAGCTTGGAAGTATGTATTTTGACATTGCGATGGTCGTTTGGAGGTAACATTAAGCATTAGCTCAAGGGGTATTCTCTTCGTTGGAAAGGGTGGCTGCTGTTAGTGTTTCAATTACTTTAGGAGCTCGAAAAGACAGCAGGTTGCGTTGGTGTGGCTTTGCATAATTCTTCAGATTCGTTCTGCCTTCTGTCTCTTTTGCATGGGTTGGGGGGCTCTACTTGCACGTTTATAAGGTTGTTAGAGAATTGGCCTTGGAGTGTCAGTTCGTGCAGATCCATATTCTCTGTACCGTCACTCGAATGGTGTTCTTGATTTTGCTTAGGTGAGTGGGTCTTGAGTTTCATAGTCGTTAATTCTTCGGCCAGTATAGTTGAGTCCATTGCGAAGGCTAATAAACATCGATGGATTTTCTTTTTTGAGCATTCTTTCGGCTTATACTGTTTGCTCCCCCTGAGTTCACGATAACGATATTTCTAGATGGTTGGTGTTACAATAGAATTACTATACTGCTATTTGATCTTTTAGTTCTGGTGTTTGATTGTAATGGTTGTTCTGTTTGGTGGTAGTGGATTCCATTGTTGGCATCTTTAGTTAGGTGTCTCAGGGTCACATTGGATTGATGGATGGTTGTCGGTTTTGTTTTTCTTTGATTTGTAGCTTTATCTTTGGTTGTGTTGTACTCTTTTCCTCCATGTAGATTTAAAGATGTTTTTAACAAGGCACACAACTTAGGTTTTGAGATTGTTCGTTTCAGTCTTAATGAAATCTTATTTGCCGAGCAAAAAAAAAGTTATTTTCTTGCTAATTTTTTTTCTCTTTTTGGTTAGAAATCAAAACTAGATTACAAAATGGGATTGTTTAGCTTAAGTTGTTGTTTTGGCAGGCGGTATATTCAGCACCAACACAAGCTGCTATCAGGGAGGATCTTGGTTTATCTTTAGCTTAAGGGATGTGTTAAATTTCACATAATTGAATTTATAAAAAAGAAAAGATTATAAAATTGATGATTGATTTAAATAATAACATGGATTGATTCAGGCAATGAGACTTTCAGCTGCTTTCTGCATTACTGGATGGCTAGCAGTGTATTTCTCCAAGGTCTGAACTTTAAGATTCATAGAATCTCTCGAAGATTTTTGATCAAAAGAAATAGATAGTGTTGAATTGGATATATTTTTCAATGGCTCCTATTGTACAGGGGGCTCTGTCAATGCATGTTGGAAGCTTTTCAACTGGATTTGGGATTGGAGTTCTCTTTTTTGTGGTATTAGTTCTTTATTTGTCACTTTCTCTCGCACAAAACACATATCGAGTTCCACATGTTTTGACTTAGCATGGAAAACAGGATTGGCGTTCATCGCCACCACACTAGTGTTATCACTCCATATAACAAGAGTTTCTACTTGCTTCTCTCCCATTTCATTTAATAGTGCTTGAACCCAGACAACCTCAGCAAAAATGTCAGTGATACTTCGATATTCTGCTTCAATGGTAAAACGAGCCACGATTTTCTGTTTTTTCGAGCTCCACGATACTAGATTGTTACTGAGGAAGATACACTAGTTTGATATTGATCGACAATCGTCTAGATTGTTTGCCCAATCAGTATCAACAAAGGCAACAAGATTGGTTGTCGAACTATCAGAATCAAACACAAGGCCATAGTGTATTGTGCCCACCAAATAACATAGAATTCGTTTAATAGCTATCCAGTGTCTTTCGCATGGTTTATACATGTATTGAGCAACACGCTGCACGCTGCACGCGACATCTGGTCAAGTGTGACTGAGGTACATTAAGGAACCAACAATGCTTCGAAATTGTTGACCATCATGAAGGGGTTTCCCTGCATCTTTTATGAGCTTGGGTGACAAAATCATAGGCGTAGGAACAACCTTAGCTCCCGACATTTTTTACTGTTCAAGTAGCTCTCTAATAAACTTTTGTTGCCTTAAAATAAGTCTATCACTGTAAATTGTAACTTCAATACCCAGAAAATAACTCAGCAAGCCGAGATCCTTAAGCGAGAACTTCTCACCCAACTGTTGTACAACTGTCTCGATAGCTTCAGAGGAATCCCCAATGATGACAATGTCATCAACATAAAGAAGCATGAACACACGACTTCCATCCATGATATGTACAAACAACGAAGCATCAACAGCAAACTCTTGAAAGTGTAAATCAAGATGATACCACCGTTGCTTACCATACCACATTCGTGGAGCTTGCTTCAGGTCATATAAGGCCTTCTGTAGGCGACAAACCAACATTTCTCCATTAGCACCATGCTGCTCAAAACCAGGCGACTG